GGCCGCCGGCCGGCCGCCAAGAAGCGCCCTGCAGCTCGGGCCCGGCATGTAAGTGGCGCCCGCGCAACCCGCGCGCCCCGGACCCGCGCCGTGGACCCCGAGGGAAAGGCGTGGAGCAAGGGACCGGGGACGGGGGTGGGGGGGGGGACGGGAGGGAAGTGTCCCCGGCCGGTCCCCGGGGAGGCACGGGGCGGGGAGCGGTGTCACTCGCGTGGCTCCGGGGAGCCCAGAGCAAACACTAGGATCGGGGTTCTCTCCGAGCGCCTGGCCGATCGCGCCCCTCCGCACCAAGTTTGCGCGCGTGTGCGTGTGTGCGTGTGTGTCTGTGTGTGGGTGCGAGTGTTGCAGTTACAAGTCAGGTTGGGAAGTCACCGGTTTAATGCGAGCGACACTTCTCGGCGAGGCTTTCGGATGCCATCCGGCGGCAGAGTTTTCTGAAGACGTCCTCTTCTTCTGATTGCGGTCCTGCGCGGGTATCCGCTGCCTCCCTTCGGAGAGGCACGGGCATGTCCCACGAACGCGTGATTCCACAGGTTCGATGGGGGAGAGCGGCGAGGAGGAGCGGGGGAGGGGGGCGAGTCCTGGCCTTCGGCTTCGAGGCTCCCCTCCCCCCTTTGAGAACGGGGGGGGGTGTCGAGAAGCTGCTGCAGCTGCATCCTCGGAGATGGGCGCGGGGGCCCGGGGTGTGTGTGTGGGGGGAGGGGGGAGATGGCTTTGTTTCTAGATGAGGATTGCACAGCTAGAAATGCTCGTTCTTGGTTACCGTGTCAAGCAAATGCAGCGAGGAACTCACGGGGAAGTCTGTACCAATTGCCTTAGACTAGCTGGAGAAGTTTGGGCAGATCTCAGTAGCATCCGCTGGATCAACTCCAGACAACCATCCGAGAGAGAAGAAGCCCGAATGCAGTTTTGCTGCTTCGGAGGGATTGAGAATAGACACCAGAATGTTCTGAACGTGATTTGCTACTTCTTCACTGCTGATTTGCTTTTCTAAAATGTGCATTAAAAAAAATAGAAGAATGCCTTAGATAATTGCACAAAGACCCTCTTATCTTTTCCAGGCTTCGCCTTTTATTTTTTTTTCCGGAAAGAAAAAAAATGCTATTTTGGGGTTCACTTTACATTTCCATGTTGCATCCCACTGGTGTGAGATTCAGTTTGCTGTCTGGTTCTATGCACATGTCCCTAACTAGCAATCTTGAGGTGTGGCTGGGATATCAGGGGCTGTCCCCACCCAAGTGCCTTCAGAGTTTGTCAGTGCCTGTTTGCACAAATACAAGGAGTTTCTGTGAACGTGATTGCTCTTGAATTGAGGAGGTTTGTCTTGTTTATTTGGAAGTAGCTGGCTTGGACTTTTCACTTTATCTCAGAGAGCTTGTGCATGCACAAATCTTCACTTGTCCAATAGGCTGGTCCTAACCTTTTCAAGGACAGGTGTTCAAGTGAAGTGTGGGTTGTCTTAGTAGTTCACACAGAAACACTCATGCGCTCCTGGACTGAGTCGTTTCTTTGGGAAGGCTTTGAGGAATGGCAGAATGGAGCCTCTTGTTTTTACATCAACGACTGGGCTTTACCTCATGTTTCAGCTTTGACGCTCCTGTGGAAAAGGTTGAAGGATGACGTTGCAATTTTAAAGGACACTGCTACTGCAGCTCATTTATTTATCAGGTGAGATGAAATCAGATATTAAAGCCAACATAAAGGCTTGGATCGCTTCATAGAGATGTGTTGTTGTCCGTTTCCCCCCCCCCCCCATGCTTTATTGAGAACCCTCTGAAAGTTCTTGGTACTCTTGGTAGGGGAAAATCCATTCAAATTTATCTTTAGTCCTACCTAGTATATGAGTAAATGGTGAGTTTTTTTTCCCCTCAGGAACCAGGTTGGGATTTTGTGCTGGATTTCTGTGGATGTCTTTTGCAGTTGTTGTGGGCTGGCACACACTCCTGAATAGCACTTGGCTTCCACACACCTGTCCATCCAGTAAATTACAGAGAAGTCTTCCAGAGATTTTTTTTTATTGACCTCTGAGGTCATTTATCAGCGAAAGCAGGCTTCTAATGAGGTGAAAACCGCTAATGAGAATTCGTCATCTTACTGACTGGCACTTATAGGTCATTAACACTGATAAGAGATTTATGTCACTGAGCTTGTACTTGAGCAGATTTGGGAGCTAGGGTGATGAGTGTGTGGCTAATGGTCAGCGTGAACATTATGCATTGTATTTGTGGTGTGTTCTTCAAAAGGTAAACTCCCTTTCCAAAGGTCATTAATGAAGTTAAAAGATATACGAAAGGGATTTCCCAATTCTAATGATAATCCATCCATCCGATGAGCTTCATTTGTCACATTTAAGAGACCTTGGACAACCCGAGGTTTCTTAAGTGGAAATTAGTATTCCACAAAGAGTACTTAAGTGTCTATTTTATGTAAGTAAGATATTGGAAAACATTTGGATTCTTACTTAGATGCAAGGCACATTTCTAACAAGGTACTCTTTCATTTTGTTTAGGAAATATTCATCCTGTAAGATAGGCACTATGATCATTCTCATTTTCTGGCAGAGACAGTTATGTTCACACTCCCCAAATCCAGAAGATCTGAAGCCAGCCAGGTTGGTTCCAGGGCTGGAGTTCTTAACATGTATAGCATTTTGGTACATCCAATCCTTATCCTGTTTTTACAAAGTTCCTTTTCATCATCCTGGGCATTGTCAATGTTTGACACCTCTTACCTAGAGGATACTAAAGAAAACTTTCACCTCCAATTATTGTAATAGCTATAGGGGACTATTGACATTTGATGCCGAGTTGGAATGATAATTACCCATGGTGAGTGGGCTAGCTCCTCAGAAGAATGATCTGAGTTTTCTCTGCCTTACAGAGGTGTTCCATAAGAAATTTTCCTGAGCTGGGCGCCAGTGGCTCACTCCTGTAATCCTAACTACTCAGGAGGCTAAGATCTGAGGATCATGGTTCAAAACCAGCCCAGACAGGAAAATCTGTGAGACTCTCATTTCCAATTAACCACCAGTAAACTGGAAGTGGCGCTGTGGCTCAAGTGATAGGGTGCTGGCCTTGAGCTGAAGGGCACACAGATAGCACCCAAGCTCAGAGTTCAAGCCCCACGACTGACCAAAAAAAAAAAAAAAAAAACGAAAGAAAGAAATTTTCCTGATTCTTAGACTTCTTGCAGGCACACATGTTAAAATGATGGGCTAGACTTCAACTGGGAATTGTGAGGAAAGAAACCTTGGCAAGAACTTTCTAGAATGGAGAGTTGGGACTGGAGATGGCATTCTGATACAGGGATATTGAAGAGTTTACTTATGTTAATGGCACTCTGTAAATGTTTTCCAAAGGATTAAAGAAAGGGGAAATAAACTCTACCTAGATCTTTGAGACATCAAAGGAAAGTGACTAGCTGTCATGTACTCTTATTAAGATTTATCCTTTCTAATTTACTTTGGTAAACAATCGCATAGTAACATGATGAGTAGTAGTAAAATGATTGTATTGCGCATGTCATACTAGAGATCAGTCAAGACAGGATGAGCCACTTCAACTCTTAGAACTTGGAATACTTGGGTTTCTTAGGGATTTTTAAGGTGTGGTCACTTTGTGTCTCAGTCTTCTCCAAAACGATGTTGGACTCCTCACATCCCTCCCTCCCATGGACTCATTGTGGCTTATGGTTTGAGAGGGTTTAGCCCCTGATAGGCTGGCTGTGTTGTTTCCAGGTAGTGGGAGACACAGCACCATGATAGAAGGGCATGGTGGCTGAGCAGATTTATGAAAGACTCTGACAAGTACATGGTCATTGTTCTAGGCGGTGTCTCCAGTAATCTACCTGCCAGGCCTCCTAGTGTCTTATATCACCTCGGTCAAGGGATCAGTCCACTGATTGGGTCAGACCTTTAGGATTCAATCACTTCCCCTAAGCTGTACATCTGAACATTGTATTGGAGACCAAGATTTAACAGGTGAGACTTGTTAGGGGGACACTTCATATCCAAATACTACCTCCTCCTCCCTTTTCCCCTTCCTCTTCCCTCCTCCCCCTCCTCCTCATGTAGAAACGCAGGGTCAGCATGGGAGAGGCAGAGATTTTATGTAAAACCTGTGAATTTATAAACAAAGCAAGTTGAGAAGCTGTGGGAACAATCTGGAATAGTGAAAGGGAGTCACTCATAACCTCATAATTCCTGCAGGATTTTGTTTTCTTTTTGTTGTTACCATTTTCTTCTTCTTTTTCTTTGCTTTTATTTTTGTATTGGTCCTGAGACTCAAAGTCAGGGCTTGAGCGCTGTCCCTGAGTTTTTTTTTGTTTTTTGTTTTCCTCTCAAGGCTAGTGCCCTACTACTTGAGCCACAGCTCTAGTTCCAGCTTTTTTTGGTGCTTAGTTGGAGTTAAGTGTTTCATGGAGTTGTCCTTCCTGAGCTGGTTTTGAACTGCAATCTCCAGATCTCAGCCTCCTCAGTAGCTAGGATTACAGATGTGAGCCTCTGGTGCCTGGTTGTTTTTATTTTTTTATTTTTTTTTAAGGCAGAACCTGGAATCAAGTTAGACGGTCAGGATGTTATAACAAAACCACCAGCTGGATGGTTTATAAAGAATTGATTTCTCAAGTCTGGAGCTAGGCAGTCTGAGATCAAGGCACTGGAAGATGTAGTGTCTACTGGGACCTATTAACTGGTTCACAGAACTGTGTTCTCCAATGATAGAAAGGGAAAACAAGCTCTTTGGATCTGTTTTATAAGGCCACTAGTCTCATTTACCAAGACTCCACCCTCGTGGCTCACATGTCCCTCATTCTGCTACCATTGACTTGAGGTTAGCACTTCAAGAGAGCAGTGGTTGAGAGGAAACATTCAGACCTTGGCAAGAGCAGACTAGAGATGTCTGGGGCTGTAAAAATCCATTTTGAAGCATTGTCTGTCACCTGATCATTAGTGTAAATTAGTTCAAAAATTACTTTCTCTTGTAGATCGATGACATTAATGAACATAAAGTGAACACAAAATGTGAAGGCTGTGCCCACCCTATGAGTGAATTATTTTTAGCAATTTGTATCCATTAATATTTTTAATGCTAATAATAATCACGAAGGGCAAATAATATCATCATCTTTTACTCAGCTGACAGCACTGTGGTCTAGACAGGTAACTTGTCTGAGGTTTCTTAGCTGTGAAAATGTGGAATGAGTTTTGGAAGGACCCCCCCAAAATTGTGTCCCAGCAAGCTTTTGTTAAGGCTTAAATCTAGTTTTGTTCTTTTTTTTTGTTCTCTTCAATCAGCATCTGCTTTGTTTTTTTATACCTCCCTCCTTCCTCCCTTTCTCTTTCCCTCCTTTCCTCCCTCCTCTCTCCTTTTCCTTCCTTCCTTCTTCCCTCCCTCCCTCCCTCCTTCCTTCTCTCTCTCTCTCTCTCCCTCCTTCCCCTTGCTTTCCTTTCCTTTTTTCCTTTTTGAAAAATGTACAGTAACTGTATAAAGGAGGTTTCAGTGTGGTGTTTTTTTATGGTATTGTCACATATGTACATAATATATTTAGATCATATTCACCCTCTATCATGCTGATTTTTCTTTATCTTTTCCTGTCATTCTGTTATACAGTCCAGTAGTCTCCCCTTTTGACATTTATGCCATTCCTCCCCCACCTCCCAGCAGTTTTAAGTCTAAATACATATATATGAGGGAAGAGATGTAATATTTGTCTCTCTGAGTCTGGCTTCTTTCATCCTGCAAACAACATAATTTCATTTTTTAGGGAGGAATAATACTCCATTGTGTTCATACCCCATATTTTCTGTTTTAGGACCTTAGTTGTTGTCAGCAGTGGTGCAGTAAACATAGGGGCAAAGTTATTTCTGTTTTATGCTCACTTATATCCCTTTAGGTACACACGATAGACTAGTTTAGAATAAATAGTGGTCTGTTTTTAATTTTTTTGAACCTCTCTATTGACTTCCATAGTGGTTGCCTTAATTACCTTTTCCTGTGTCCCTTGTACACATTGGTGTTTGTTTGTTCTTGATGGCTGTTCTGGCTGTGGTGAGACAGCATCTCAATATAGTTTTGATTTGTATTTCCTCTATAGCTAAGGATATTGAATATTTCTTCATACATAGATTTGGCATTTGTATATTTTTGAGAACTATATATTTGATTTAATTATTTGTTAATTGGGCTATTTGTTCCTCTGATAGTTTATTTTTAAGCTCTTTATATATTCTAGATGTTAATCTGTTGACAGACCACCAGCTTTTAAAGATTTTTTCTCTTTCTGTAGGCTGTCTGGTCATTATTCCTGTGATGAGCAGAAGTTTTTTAATTTGATGGGATCTTATTTGTCAATTCTTCTTCTTTCCCCTGAACTATTGGAGTCTATTTTCTTTAATAGGTAGGAGCAGATTAGAACTAGATGAGCATAGGTTCAGTGAGTGTACCCAAAGGATTGTGTTCAAACTCCCAGTATTTATCTTTTCTCCTTTGACACCGAAATCAAATCACTAACAGAGTTGCTTGATGTGTGGCTGATTTCTTTTTGTTACTTCATTCCAACAAACATTTGTTCAGTGTCGAGGACTTTGCTAGACTTTGAAGATCCAATAAGACAGTTCTCTTTCCTTAAGTAACACAGAGTTCTGAGGGAGGGAGGCAGACATTCAGTCATACTGAAACTTACAGAGGCCAAATTTCAGCCCAGCTAGAAGGAAGAAAGGACACTGGAGGCAGCAGCAGAATGAGTTCAGTAGAGTACAGATGCATGGCTCTTTAGGGTTTGTGTATCAGGACTTCTGAGATGGTAATGGAACCAGGCAGGGACCACTGTGCCTTCTTGTCTGATCAAACATCCACTCTGATTTGTTACCACTCTCAGCTCCTTAGACCCTGGGCCCACAAGACACTGGAGTAACCTAAACAGAGGAGTAATCTCCCCAGATTTGTGGTTTTGAGTCCAGAATGGGTTGGAGAGAGATGAAGCCACGGTTGGTAAGTTTTATCTGTAGTTGAGGAAAGGCCTAGTAAGCCTTGTAAATAAAGGAAATGGTTGGAGTGAGGGGAGGAAGGAAGAGATGTGGAAACTTATTCCACAGTGGAGATACTGAGTGTGTGGTGGTCAGACGTGAGAGAGGAAGACTTGAAACTCAGAAACACAAGGGGAAAGGGGGCCTTGGAGAGAAGAGCTGGTCAGGGACTGTGGTACTGATGTGTCTGAGGGATTTCAGTTCAAGACTTCCTGGAACAGCTTTTCAAAACCGGCAGGGAGGCTCTAGAGAGTGGTCTAGGATAGACCCATGTTTTGAGGTTGAAGTTGTGGGAGATAAGGATAAAAGATTCATAAGGAAGGCTACCAGTACAACCTACAACTCTGTGTGTGTGTGTGTGTGTGTGTGTGTGTGTGTGTGTATCTGTGTGTGTGTGTAAGAGAGAGAGAGAGAGAAGAGAGACAGAGGAAGAGGAAGAGAGTACTGTTGCTTAAACTAAAGGCCTCATGCTCTTGCTTTTTCGCTTAAGGCTGGTATTCTAACACTTGATCAACACTCCACTTCTGGCTTTTTGCTGGTGAATTGGATATTACAGTCTCTTGGATGTATCGACTCAGGCTGGCTTTGAACCACAATCCTCAGACCTTAACTTCTTGAATAGCTACAACTATGGGCATGATGGAGATCACAGCCTAAGGAGGAGTCTGAGAAACTACCTGAGGAGAATGAAAGGAGAAAGGAATGAGCCTACAAGTCACTGGAGGGGAGGGGAGGTAAAGAAAGCCAGGGCTTGGGGGGTGGACTGTGTCACTCATGAGAAGTAATTGACTTAGAGCTACCCAAAGAGACCCCGGGGTGAGAACCCTGTTGTAGCTGAAAATGCAGTCTCACCCAGCCATTGTTCTGGGTTACAATGTCAAAAGGGAAGACTACAGCCAAGGACCCTCATGTTCCCCCCACCCAACCACATGTTCCTGTCGGGCACCATCATTCTCAGAACAGTATTTCCCAGCCAGAAATACAGACAATTTTCTTGTGACATGGCAGCAGAATTTCTCACACCTGGGCTGAAAACAGTCAACTTGCATCCATCAAAGCAGTTGCCTTGAATCTGAAGACACACTGTAAAGCTGGGGAAAGCTACCCAAGGGGCTTGTCGTTGAGGATTGTTATAGGGTAGCCAAGAATCATAAAGGAGTTTAGACCAAAGCATAACTGCTATTTGAAAAAGAAGGAAAGTAATGCTAGCCACTGGTTGCTCACACTTGTAATCCCAGATTCTCAGGAGGCTGAGGTTGGAAGATCTCAAGACTCTTATCTCCAACTTAGTACCAAAAAGCTGCAAGTGGAGCTGTGGGCTTAAATAGTAGAGCACCAATCTTGAGTGAAACAGTTAAGGCACAATGCCCAGGCACTAAGTTCAAGGTCTAATACAAGCACAAAAAAAATGAAGATGAAGAAGGAAATCACAGAGAACTTCATGGTGGCAAGGGAGGGTTGGGACTGGGGTTACAGGAAGAGAGCAAAGCAAGCAAAGAGGGCTGTGGAGCTCTGCCAGGGCTATTTCTTCTGTGGGTGACACCCTGCACGACTGGTGTCACCACTGTCTCTTGCACTGTCTTTGCCAGGCCATCCATAGCCCGTAAGTCCCTGCCTCTTGCTTCTCTTCCTGGCCAATCTCTTAAGATCCCACACTGGATTTATCTGTTTCAGCCACTAGGAGAGATTTTTGTCTCTGGTACAGCAAGCTAAAGTGATGTTTTGTTCTGTGACATAGGTATCCAGAGATCTCTACTTTATTAAGAACACGTCTGTTTGCTAATAAGTGGTAATGATGTGGACATGTTGAGAATCAGTAAAGACATTAACAGCCAATGCTTCTGTGACATCGGTTCCATCCCCATAAACGAGGTGGCTTGTCAAAGCATGATCTGGAAAACGTCTTCTGCCACTCCTCAGAGGACTCTCTTCAATGGTGTTTAATGTTCCCCCTCATTGACATGGCTAATTAAGAATTGACAGTCATTGTGAGCTTCAGTGGGTTTTACTCTTGAGGAAAGAGGCAATCCTCAGGAGATATGAGCTTCCTTTTCTCTGAATTATTAAGAAAGCTATCTTTATAGGGTAGCTGTAAGGCATATGGATGTTTGTTACAGTGTGAAGGGTTTAGTTGATATATCAAAGTACTGTTCTAACGTATGGTATGTGGTTCGGACTGCTTTGTTTGATTGAATTTTACTAATGGGGAGATCATAAACATTCTCTCTATATAGCAAAGTAACTAGTAAGCTAAAGGTGTGTTAACTAGATGATATTCATTTCATTCACACACATATATATGTGCAATATATATGTATATGTGAAATCATCATGAAGTCCACCATAAATTTACACAACTTCACTTTTATTATCTTTAGCTGTACAGATGAGTTTCAATTCAATATGTCAGTTTGTGTGTAATGATAACATTAAGATAATAATCTCAATGTTAACTCTTTTGTTATTTCCTCCATCTCTCCTGACCCCACCCTTTCCTTCTATTTACTTAGCTCCATTTTCACTTATTTATGTTGAATATGACGACTGCCTTTCCTCAACCATCTTTTCTCTCTATTTTCCTACCCTTTTCCCCTTCACCTCATCCCCTCTGGACAACATATATTCCATTTTGTCCAACTATAAGTTAGTTGTTCAAAGGATTACACCATTGACATTCTTCCCTACACATACCATGTTTGCATATGTGTGCACATGATATTTGTTACTCATACCTCCATAATTGTTGGAGAAAAATATATCATAATAAAACAATAGTCAAATCCTGCTACATCTTTATTACAGAGTTTAAACAAATTTGGCTCTGGAAGCTTTCAGAATCCAAAAAAAAAAAGATAAGAAAACAATTCTCAGCATGAATAAACTGGGGCTGTGTGTTGACATCAAAAATTTATTTTCCAATGCATTTCACAGTTTACTCATGCTGAGAACAACTTCTTATCTTTTGAACTTTTGAACTCTCTGTGTATTGGAATGGGCAGAAATGAACATGGCTTTCCTTTCAATGTGCTAGAATGCCAAATGCAAAATAAAATGAGTAGAAACTCAGGACACAGCAGTACACTTAGGCCAATGATGTGATAAACAGACTGGTATGTATACTCATGTAGGCATGTAGACGCAATACTGGAATGAATTTTGATCCAGAAAACACCATTCATGGGTAGCAGCTGTTTGCATCATACGTATTCCTTGCAAGCAGATCTTACATGAGTTTAACTGTCTGGGCCAGGACACAAGTCTGGGCCAGGATACAGCTCAGTCAGCTCCAGCAGCTCAGTCAGCAATCTTATTCTGTCGTAAGACTATTTAGAGTAGAGACCCCATTCACATTTTCATTGTTCTACTGCTAAAGTTGCACTCAGGACCACCTTTGAAGGGCTCAGGTTCATTAAAATGTAAGGGATGAGAGAGCTGCTAGCCACTTCTGACAAACTAGCTATGGTGATGAAGGCTATGATAGTTTGTGGGGTTCATTGAACCACTGGGGTCTTTTGTGTGATAGCTAAATATGCTCAAAGGTAGGGGGTTGTGTTGGTCCATTTCACTCCTGGAGTCTCACATTCCTTTTTAGCATTCTTCTCTGTGGATCTTTGTTTTGTTGTGGCCAATCATTTCAACAGCTAGGTTCCCATTTCATTGAAGGTTAAGTGCCAAGACCAGCATTACTGTTGAATGAAAACCAGTTGATAAAGCTGGATGCTAGTGCTCACACCTGTAATCCTAGCTTCTGAGGAGGCTGATATCTGAGGATTAAGGTTCAAAGCCAGTCCAGGCAGATAAATTGTAGAGATTAATATCGAACTAACCAACAAAGAAGAGCTAAAAGTGGAGCCATGGCTCAAGTGGT